TGCCAAAAGAGCTTATGTAGCTTCACGGTTGAAGACAAAATTCACTAAGAGAGCACATAAGGAAATAGAAGCTACAAAAGAGAAGGCGAAGGATTGCAAAAGGTATATGGCTTGTGGAAATGTTCATGAGATAGATGATGGTGGTGTTTCATATTCTGTGGATATGGAAGCTAGAACTTGTGGTTGTATAAAGTGGCAACTGACAGGGATACCTTGTCTCCATGCTTCATGTGTTATCATGGCGAAGAAGCTTAGGTTTGGTGATTATGTTTCTAGCTATTACACTGCTGAGATGTGGCGTTTAACTTACTCACGTGGTATTAGACCTGTACAAGGTATGAAGCTATGGCCTAGGCTTAATAGATTACCTGTCTTACCACCACCTTATAGATTAGGAAACCGAGGTCGACCAAGTAACTATGAGAGAAAGAAAGGTCAGAATGAATCGTCGTCAACAACAAAGTTATCCCGACAGTGGCGTGTGATCACATGTTCTAATTGTCATGAACAAGGCCACAACAAGACTACATGCTCAAATGCTGCTGTTGAGCCACCACCAAAAAGGCCCAGAGGACGACCAAGAATTCACTTTCAGGTACATTTACCTCTTAAGAAATCAGTTTACATATTGTTAAGTTAGTATAGTAATTGTTCTTTAATTTTATTTTGTTTAGGGAGAAACATCAGAGGGAATAGGGTCTCAAGAACCATCACAAGAGATTCCTCAAGGATCACAAGTAGGATGAAGTGATTGCGGTTTCTCAAGGCTCATTGGAGATTGCTGTCGTTTAAGTCACAACTTTCTTTTTACTTGTCTCGGATGTTCGTGTAGTGGATGCTTTATCTTTCTCTTTTGGTGTTTTGGATGCTTTATCTTTGTGTTATGGTTATGTGGATTCTTTGTCTTTATCTTTTTGATGCTTTGTCTTATGTTAAGGATGCTTTGGTTAAGGATGCTTTGGCTATGTTATGATGCATTATGTTTAAGAGTTTGTTTGTCTAAGATTGTGTTTTACAGAGTAACAAATTGAAGAAGAAAGTATCATAAACACATAAGCATACTCATAACCAAAGATGATTTCATACATAAGCAGAACCAAACATAATCTCTTACAATATAATCCCATACATTCCAAAAGACAATGAGATCCCAAAAGACAATACATAAACAACCTTACTGAATCGTAAACACACATTAATGAAGCACATATGCTCCAAATGCTAAACTAACAAAGACAGCATACACCACAAGACCTTTGATTACAACTTTGTTCTTCTCTATCTCGGTTTTGTTTTTCAAAACAACCTCCATCAAATCTTCAATGTCGACTTTCACCTTTGAAATCTCGGTTTCATGGACTACTATTTTTGGCAATGCATCTTCAACTTCTTCAAGTATTGCTTCTTCCACCCATTTAAACAAATGATCCTTTAAAATGAAAAATCAAAGGGAATCAAAGTCACTTATGGCCTCTGCTCACAATACATATAAACCGGATATTAATCAAAGTCACTAAACAGAAAATCACATTACCTCTCCTCTGGTTTCACAACGGAAGAAGGGGCGTCCGGGATTGTCTTGGGTGCTTGAAGTGAACTTCGTTATCCCTGCTCCACATCCACAGTTTGAAGGGAAACCACGGTTCATGATGCTATAGAGAAAGATTAAGAGGAAACAAGTTCTGGGTTTGTATGTTTAGAGGAAACGTGAAAAGAGAGTGAGACACGAGAGAGAAGAGAATTAGGGATTTAAAGAGGTGAATTGGGGATTTCTGCTTTAGATTAGGGTTTTTTTCATTAAGCCAAAACGACGTCGTTTAATAACTAAACGTCTGTTAAACGATATTTAACGGCTAATTAATTACAAGGTTAAAAGTACTTGGTCAACGAAAGTTAATGATTTTATTGTGTTTGACCAATAATTCGTAGTTTAAATGGCCTATTTTGAAGTTCAAGGTTATTTTGGCTTATTTTGGAAAGTTCGCGATTAAAAAGTCAATTTTCCCAAAAAAAAATTAAAGAAGTGACCGAAATATTTGACTTTGTTATCTGTGTTGATTCGGTCATGTACGAAAAAACCTTACAAAGCCCAATATTAATTGTAGGAGGGCCCATAGCGTAACTAAAAGTTTCCAACAAAATTGTACAAAAATATTTCTAGATAGTTTTGTCGCTATCCGCCAAAACTGATATTTTCAACATACAGAAAATAAACGGTAGAGATTCAAGCCCTAGATGGGACGTGATAGTATCTTCCTCGGCACGTGCATCTATAGATGACGCTGCATGATTCGGCGACGGAGCACTGAAAGCTAATCATCACGCGTTTACACGGCGAGCATGCGCCACATGCGTACGAACAATCCGGCAAACTCGATCCTGTTGGATACATTTCCATTTCTACCCCTTTTTTTTCTTTGTTTTCCTTTTCCACCATAAAATAATTAGAATAATAAGTTCAAAATACATACCATTAAGAGGTCAACGTGTTGAAAGGATAAAATTTGAATAATAGATTGCCAGTTGATAAAAAAGAGGGCAAAGTATTTTTCGGCATCTTTATACTAAAAGCCTGTGGTTTCAGAATCAGTACAATATAATCAAGGCCAAAATAACTAAGAAAAGAAGATAAACATATGATATTGGAATTATTAAATCACACATTTAATATCAAAGACTTGTCCAAATAAACAAACAAAACAAAATACCAAAAGGAACCATTCAGAATTTGGCACCAAAAAAAAAAAAATTCTAGGTTTTAGATTTAAAGAGAAGTCTAAGTTCTTTTAAAAACTATGGAAAAATATTTTGAATTTAAAATTGATAGAATTTAGAGTGTATTTATTGGTATATGGCTTAAAATTTAGGTGTTCAATACTAGATCACTTTATTATTTTTAAAAGCATGATATTTGGTTAAAAGTTACATTTGGTTGTTATCAAACAACAAATTATAGATCATACATGTATTTTAAGAAATGGTAGATGATAAAAGTTTGAGAGTAAAAAAAAAAAGTTTGAGAGTAGTGCACCAAAAAAAAAAGAGTAGTGCACCATGTATTTTAAGAAATGCTAGATTATATAAGTTTGAAAGTAGTGCACTAAAAAAAAGAGTAGTGCACAGCACCGCACCGTGCGAGACTTGACCTACCTTGTGGTGCGTCTGAGTTCGTCCCATCTCAGAGTTTATATTCGCTCCGCCATTGACCGCAGTGCCTAAAATGGCATAAAATGAAGTGTTAATTATATTATTATGAACTTTGAACCCCCAAAAAGGTTACTTTACTGTAGGAACAAATTATAAAAAATAAATATATAAAAAAGAAAAGGAAGAGATATTGATGTGTAAGCCCTTTCACAAAAAAAAAAAAAGAAGAGATATTGATGTGACGGACTTAGTGGCGGCGTGCGGATGCAGTTAACGACCAAAGAACACGCGGCGAAGACTAGGACGAGGGCAAACACTAACGTGCGGAGAAACTTCTTCATGTTTTTTAGCTTAAACAAGATTGAAACTTCTGGATATGACAGAAGTTTAAAGAGATTATTGTAAAGATGAAAGCAGAAGACAGTACTACTTTTGTTGTGTGATAGAGGTAATAATCTAAATGCAAGTGATATATGTCCATTTATATAGTTGGAGAAAAGATGAGAAGAATTGGTATGTGTTACAACAATAAATGAAAAAGACGTACGTGCACCTGATGGAGGTCACATGATTCTCGTCAAATTTCTGATATTTTTATACACTTTTAGAAAAGTTTATTCGTGTGGTTATGTTGAAAATTCTGTTCGCTATCATTTACATTCACTTTACCCATTTGGATTTGTTTGAATCAAAGCACTGTTGAAATGTAGCAACAAGTTCTGAGATATTAAACTAAAATTATTACTATTAACTTTTTCACAAAAAAAGTTCTGAGATATGGTTGTGCACTTCCTTCATTTTATACTTCGAATATCTATTTAACTTCTCACATACATATGATATCACTCAAATTATCTTAATAAGTGAATTACCCTCTTAAATAAGAGATTCAGTTGTAGTAGTTAGAGATCGAATCAACAGAGACTCTAGGATTATTATTGTACTTTAAAGTAGAGCTAAACTGGAAATTAGTTTAAATAATTTTAACCGTAAACAAATGAGGTGAATAAGGTAATTGTTTGGTAGTTTGATTTGAAATGGTTTTTAGTTGGGAAAATATCTAGACTTAGATAATATCTTAAGTATGAAAGTAAATTGATTTTGACCTTAAGCGTTTAATTGTTCATGAACTCAAACATATAAGTGAAATCAAATAGATTTTCTTGGACTAGATCTCGGATCTCAGCAATCGTTTATTGATCTTGGGAAATTGTTGATCGATAATGAACATCAATCGATACACCTTTGAAGATAGCGATCGACACGGCGATGGTCGCGTCGATCGACGGCTCTTTTAGCAAGCTTTGTGAGTGGGTTAGTGTTGTTCTCTAACTCCTTAGACCAACTTTCCTATGAATCTAGTCAGTTAGATCAAACTAGTTAGGTTCAAGTATTGAGGAAACTAATATTTATCTCAATTAATCCTAAGATCTAAATTTAAGGGTGATCAATCCTAAATCTAACATTAAGCATAACAAGGTTGAAGAACTAAATAAAAACACCTTAACAACACTCATATTATCAATACATAATTCAACCTTGTGAGAAACCTAAATCTAACATTGAGATTACTCAGACATATTCATAAGAGACAAGGTTATGATGGTATAAATAAAACTCATATGTAAACAAGAAACAAAGTAAATAAGAGTAATAAAAGCAAAGGAGTTCAAGATCTTCACTATTTGGTAGTATCAGATCTATCTCTCCATTATCCTAAACTCTCTTTCTTTAGTAGTAAACAAGTTGCTCTTTTCCAAACTAGGTTTAGAAGGTCTCTAGAAAAGTCTACCTCTAAAATGGTACAAAACCTTAATAATATAGCCTACAGGCGGCCATAGACTTAAGATATAATTAGTGTAACTTTTGTGAAACTTGAAGTCTTCTAATTTATCATTAAGTCTCGGATGGCTTAGGCGTCGATCGACGGCAATGGACTTGCGTCGATCGATTATAATTGGTGATCATCGATCAATATTGTTCTTCAAGCGTCGACCGATTCTTCATCTCGACAGAAACTCTCAAAGTCTCCAAAATGTCTCAAACATCATTTTCTTCAATTGAGTACTTGAACCTGTGATTTGCTGTAAAAAGACTCCAAATGCCTATAAAGCACTTTAAAAACATATCTACATCATGGTTGAAAATGGATAAAATCCATGACCTATCAACACCCCAGACTTACCCTTTTGCTTATCCTCAAGCAAAACAAAACAAGTAGTCTCTCTGAAAGAGGGTTGAAAAATAGCAGGGACTCACAAAATTTAAAACTTAGAATCATCACCACTACAATGTTGCAACCACATCAAATAAGTGGTAACCTCATAAATACTTTATATGCCATATTCTAGTTTAGCAATCAAATTCATTCTACCAGCAACTTAGCAAATACTAGCTTGACTCACACCTCTACTAACCTCATTTAATACATAAAAGAAATCACAGATTTTACCTTGGGAGTATCGATCGTAGGATGCAGGAATTCTCAAACAAGTATCTGGATCTGCATGTAAAAGTTAGTTCCTATCTTTTCTCTCTTCTAGTTTCTCTTTTGAGTCAAAGTCTGCTTCTATGACATGTTCATTGATCAAGATTGGACATGCTTCCATGAAGCAAACCTTAATGTTAGTTACCACCAAGTCCTTATCATTTCTTTTTGACTTATATCCAAGAATTCATATGAAGCGAGCCTTAATGGTTGTAGCCACCAAGTTCCATTCAAATTATTTTTGTTGGAATCTTTATGAATCAAGCCTTAATGGGTGTAGCCACCAAGTCCTGTTCAGATTCCACCTAACTAAAACCTATAAATATATCACTATTTTGGATATTTGTTTTTGAATAAATAGATCTACCTAAATATCTAGGGTCGAAAATAGAGAGAGAAAATGTGCTAAATCTACACAAGGCTTTACCTTCTAGACTTGCTTGGAAAATTTGATCCCATATATACCAAGCCCAAGACAAACAGTTGTGTCAGGTTTAGTGTTGGAGGTCAGCTTCGGTTCCTTCAAACTTTCTACGCAAGTGTGATCTAATGGTAGGGTGATCCACTTTAGTATCTCTAGCATATTCTTCTGTCGACAAATAAAAAAATGCTGCTATAGAGTGGTTAGATAATAAACAAAAATTTAAAACGATCATAATCCCTTTCTTAACTCAATAATTTTTTTTTTTTGAAAGCGTTTTTATAAAACTTAAGGAAACATAACATTAGTAACTACCTCCCACAGACTTAACACTGTCCCAGTGTAACCAGTCCAAGATTGGATTTATAAAAATTGCAAAGTACTAGTTATATATTGAAAACTTAAGTTAGTGTTTCGTACCTTCATGTGTCATGCATCGATCGATACAGTAAATATGGCTGCGATCAATACAGTAAATATGGTGGCGATCGATAATGGTAACATCATATCGATCGATAAGGTCAGCATGGTATTGATCAATATGAACGAAATATAAAACGCTGCATCGTGTTGGAAGGAGTTTAATTCATTCGGTCTGTCAGTAATGTTAGTTTTGTTAGACAATCAAAACACATGTGAGAAGCAATAAAACAATTATGAAACATAAATCAAAATAAATCTAAAGACATAAATCCTAAAATTCCAAACACATAAAATAAAGGATAATAGTCCATAAAAAGAAAGTATAGGAATGTGAGGACTAGTCGGTATCCTCTCGGTCTCCTCATCGTATCCTAATGAAGCAGCACGGTGCTGCAGCTAATGTTGAGCTGGCTCTGACACTCCTCCTGCTCTTACAAGGAGGTCTCGACACTCTAGCCCAGATGGCTCAGAGAGCATCTACAATTACCTGCTGAAAATTCCCATGATGCGTTGGGACGTCTGGTATGATGGGGAAGTTGGGGAGTGGAGGCTCCTTATGCTCCTGCATGGCTCTGGCTCCGCGGGGTCCTGGAGGTCAGCACGGTGCCTCTGGGAGGTTGCGCAGTAGGCACTCGTCTGGCTGAAACCGGAGGCTATCAGCATCATCAGTAAAATCCGTGACCCCCTGTTTGGCAATTGCAGCAAACGGATCTGGTTATCCCTCCTAAAACTCCAGACACGGTCCTCCTTGAACCATCCCGCGCTCAGCAAGTGTGCCTCATCCACAAAGACATGAGAGCAGTTTGCAGAGCCCTCATCCAGGCGAATGCCAAGATGCGTGAAAACCGGAGTGAGCAAAATCCCAACCGTCTCCTTCTTCTGGCCCATACCCTTAAAAGGTTTCGTCTTCAGCCCAACCAGATGCTCAGCGAAAACAGCCTCGAGGTTAGGTGCCACTACCGCCTCCTCCTCATCAAACCTACACAAGTCAACCACACCATCCAATGCGCAAAAGAGGAGTGTGAGGTTCTGCATCCTTACCTTATTGGGTTCCATCTTGCACAACAAAGTGTTGGCAAGTGCTCTCAAGAACTAGCGTCGAGTGGAGTGACAAATATCCGTCATAGTGGCCTTGCCAGAGTTCCAGTAACCCGTACGAATGACTCCTCAAAACTCAGGTAGTCTAGGGAAGTCAAGCACTGTGCTGCGAATTGCTGTAGGGTTCTGGAAACCGTAGATGTCGCAGAGCTCGGTGATGGAGATGTGGTATCTCATGCCTTGGGAAAAGAAGGAAAAGGTGCTGTCACTTGCAACCTTAGACTTGGGTTAGTGTAGGTGAGCTGAGTGGTGGCCATGAACTGGCGGACAAGCGAGACGTAGAAGTCGTACATACAAGTGGTCATGGTGCCAAAATACATCTGTTGGATCATGTTGGTTATGTCCGACTCGAGACTGAGCCTCCAGATAGTAGCCTGATTGATAAACCATGTGGGCTCTACCGATATGTCCAGGCATGCATTGTTGAACATGCTATCATAATCGTCCCATGTGTCAGTGAGACTGCGGTGTGTGCATTTTAGGTCCTTAACCGCCTTAGTAGGGTCCGTGAAGGTCTCAAATGTGATGATCGGGGTCTTGTCATCGCGAGGCCACGGGTAGCGCTCATAATCCTACGGAGATGGAGACTCGGAAGGTCTGTTCCTGGATGTGCCTGCTCGGTCTAACCTCAGCTTCATTCTCTTTTCGTTGAATGGTCTCATCTGCAGACATACACAAAAGAAGAGGTGAAATTAGTACGTGATATCGCTATAACTGATATCGATCGATGTACAAGCATGTCATCGATCGAGACGTAATCACCGAAATCAATCGATGTAAAAAGCATGCCATCGATCGACATGACTTAGCCCGTGTCGATCGATACCAAGTCGTGAAACCTGCAAAAATTACTCAACCAAAATATTGATTTCAAGGTTAATATAGCACACAAATGAGTTCTTAAACCCTATTTCATCATTCCAACAACCTAAAACTTCTCAAAATCGTGCCTAATCAAGTGTTATAGTTCATTCTAAAACTCAACCCTAGAATATCCCAAAATA